TGTAAACAAGTGAATGCTGCTAAGTTTTTTATTTTCAATAATTTTTAATCTTTTATAGACATTTAATATCATAAACTTTTTTTAAAGAATTAATTTTTTAATTACGTAAAAACTTAGCAGCATTCACTTGTTTACAGATCAGTTTTTGGAATTCAATAGCAAAATGAAAAATGTATTAGAACTGCCTCGTACTCAACGGTAAAACGAAGTGAAAATCCGTCTACTTGACCTTGTTCTTCGAACGATTTTGCACATTTTCAAGACCGACATGCATGCAAAAACTTCCAATGATGAAGCGCCAATGTTTCCATTTTTGGTACCAGAAGAACGAGTCAGACACACCGCCACACAGATGGGCATGCTTAATTCGATGTAGAGTTTGGTACTGATAAAGAAAATATGCAGTTTACGATGGTTTCTCAGCAGAGTCTATATTTTCTTTGTTAGCAAACGTTTCATCGAGCCGTTTTCAAGTTTGGAAAGAGATAAGGCTAAGGCAAGCTATGTACGGTGATTAGGAGGTTCGAACATTAATTTTTTTGTCTTGGATCATATGTTTTATGCAATGTTATGAATTTATAAAAAAAATTGGTTTCATCGTTACAAAACAACGCCATTTGAAAGATCTTCTGAATGTTGTTTTCCTTCCAGTATAAAATGCAAACACTGCACCCATACTGCGCATAGTTTCTTCATGCGCAAAGATTCAGTTAATATATCGTCGTTTGCGAGGTAAAATTAGATATTTGGAAATTAATAAGCACTTAACGAGTTTTACCTCTAGACCGACGATGCCGATGTACACTATTTTTGTAAATAACCACGACATGTGCTAATTTGCGCGATTTAAATCTATAGCCCCCCCACTGTTTCGTCACTGTTGGCAAGTTTGTCTGCACAATTTTGCCTGGTTTTGTATAAAATCTACTATTTAATGCTTTATTCCTGTAAGGTAAGAAACAGACTTCCACAGAAGAGATTCTGTCTCGGCTTTGAGATTGTTGGACTCAGGTCTTTCAAATGAAAACATTGTATTGTAAATAGATGCCAAATTTCTTCAATGTTTGCAAACTCACTGTGAGCAAACACAAACTTTGTAAAACCTTCTTTGATCAATAATCGCTGTCTTTTAGGGCTACCCCCGTATGCACGATATATGGGAATGGTTTAACGAACCTTTTTTCTCTCTTCTGATTGACTTGCGAACTTGACTCGGAAAAGTTTAGTATTATAATTATTATAATTAATTTAGTCAAGGAAATAAATTCTAAGACTACAGTCTTAAAGCACTAGGGTTTAATGGTATCTTGAGCACTTGAGATTTGAAGTCACGGCCCTTGAATTGTTAGCCGGAATGCTTTGCCTGCTCGGCCACTCAGACGGACATTTAAGGCTATAAAATAGAAAAAGGAAAAAATTCATCATTGTTCAGTTGGTTGTGGACGGGACGTAATTGTTCAGCTTACTGCGTTGTCACGCGTAATTGCCTAATTGTAATTTTAACAGACGCTACCACTGACAGGCACACATATAAATATGTTAAAATCGATTCCTCTTAACAAGAATATATGTACCCTATGTAGGATTTGCAATGCACACCTGTGCACATAGGTACAATGAAAAAAGTGTTAACGCAACAAACACATTTCGGACAATCAATTAGTTTCAATTGGACTTTCAATTAAATGGATAAAAAACAGTAGTTGTCAACTTTCATAATAAGAACAGTGTTATTATTTTTGTCAATATTTGTTATTGACATACAATTCCCGCTCATCAGTTTATATTACCATAGAAATACTACATGTGTATGTATATCAATAAATTTGCAATTTTCATTTATAAATAATGTTATCTTTTTAAACTTATACTTTTTGATTGAATCAGACCAGACGGAAAATATTTTAAGAAAGTAAAGAAGAGAAAAGAAAAAATAAATTAATGAAACAAACATAAAATGACACGCAAATCAAATGAACAGGAAAAGCCGCTAAATAAGCAATTTGAGTATTGAAATGAAAAAAAATGTACATATTACACGTGAACACTTTTCTAGCTTGATGGAAAAATTTCCAATTATTTCCGCTGTGTGCAAAAAATCAAGACAATTTCATCTTTGGCTTTCTTATACCCATCACGGAGGGATGAGGAGTATAATCTATTTGTCAAAACAGTTGCAGCGCCCAGGAGAAAGTTTCAAAGAACCCACAAAGTGCGTATCCTGTATCGATGGAAGCATCGTCTGTCCGCCAGGGCAATGTCTGTTGTAAACATTCTCCTGGCCGCAAAAATGAAACTACCGACTTCAAACTTGGCGAAAACTTTAGATATTCTTACACGTAGCCTCAAAACGGGCCAAATCGTTCGAAGGACACGCTTACTGCATCACGTAAACTGAAAATACCTCTGTTTCTCAAAAGGAATAAAAGATAGATGATTTCATCACTACTCATAGATAACAGCAGATAAATGTACAAATATCTGAACGTATATTCCATGAGCAGCGATGTACCGGTACAAAAATTGGGGAAATTGATCAGTGTATCAACATTTTTTTTTTTTTTTCAATACCCATACAACGCGTAAAAAGAAGCTTCAGAAAGTGAAGTATACAAATTCTTAGCTAGCTTTAAAATCGAAATACATTTAGGCATGTCTGTCTGTTCGTCTGTCTATCTTCCCGTTCGTCTAAGCGTCCATCCATTGATCTGCCCAAAGGAATAGCATCTGTGATACACATTCTCTCGTCTACAAGTTTGCGAATGAGGTTGAAAATGGCCCATACAGCTCACGAACACGCCTATAACACTTACACATTTATACAACCAAATCTGAGAACAGCTTTACTGTCCGTGGCTTTTGTTCGTTGCTCTTGAACTGCAACAGGTACACAATATAAAATTCCATACTCTTATTTTGCAAAAATGGAAAAAACCAATCACGTCCCATTATTATATAGTAAAATTAAAGCACAGGTGTATGTAAATCATCAGACATTAAGCATTTCGAAATTAAATTTTTGTCTGGGATAATATAGACACAATTCAATTGGTTTTGTTGGCTTTTATCATTTTAGAAAGACAGCGGAGAAAAGACACAGTTCTTAAAAACGTGTCTGACAGCTACCCTTTAGTTATTGCAAAATAAGAGAGTGCCGTAAAAACTTTGGAAAACTTTTCAAAAGCCGTCCCAGTAAACGTGTACCCATAAATGTATGTACACATATAAAAAAAATAAAAACAACGAATATCATAACCTAAAGAGTGGCTTCCAGTTCGACGTGCAGGCAATACGTGCTTAGAACAACACATACTTTTATCAATTGTCAGGCAAATATAAACGAATATACAACCAAATAAGTCATGGCTGCTAATCATGGCGCTGGTTCGAGGGCTGTTGTCGCAGCTACAGCTGCCGCAGCAGCCGCTGCTGCTGCTGCCGCTAAACGTGTACAAATAGAGAAAGCACATAATTTTATGCGACAATATCGCGATCCCGAATCGCGAGAACTGAAAAAACTGTCAGCAAATCAATTTATGGATGTATGGGCGCATTACGATAAGGACGGTAAGTTTATTCAAGAAAATAATTGTAGGCGTATTGCTATCTGGATCCGATTTATGATTCTTGATCGTAATTTGACTACGTTACTCAACAGTAATTTTACGATTGAAACATTTTTCCTCCGATAATAAGAAAAATACGTACTTTATCTACAGCTGTAAAATCCGTATGTGCTGCTCTTTCTATACAAAATTTGGCCAAGTATATGGTTTTGGTCTTTTTGAGTTTGGTCACATTAAGGTAAACGTGTTTTGTAAGTAAAATTGACTTTGCGAAAATAGCCGTCAACTTGCTCGAGAAGTAACAGATCAAACATGAAAAATAAAGTGAATGACAACAAATCGTAAGAGCCTAAAATTTGTAGTATAATTTTATCCGTGGTAGCAAAAACAAATGATCGCGATATAATATTAGGTTTAATTATTATGATGAAAAAATTGCGTATCCTTTAGGGAGAGAAACTTCATTTTCGATAGCAATCTTTTATTTAAATTTGCTTTAAAAATTAATTTTTTCTATAGGTAATGGATATATCGAAGGCACTGAATTAGATGGTTTCCTGCGTGAATTCGTTGCTAGTGCCAATGTTACAGACGTAAGTCCAGAGGTAAGTTCATAAACATGCTTTAATGTATTTTATTAAAACAAATGCAAAAGTAAGATCTTTTAAAGAAAAGAAGATCTTTTAAAATTAGTTAAAGAAAGTAAAATTGAATGCAATAATGCGATGAAATAAAATAAAAATAATAAAAGAAAAACGTTCATTCTGCCCTAACCGTGAATGAACAAATTCAAACAAAAAAAAACAAAGACTTTCCAAAGAAAATTCATGAAAGTTTGATTAGCAGATTTTTGCCGGTAATGTTTTTGAAATAATTTTGGCGAAAAGCCATTGAGTTAGCGTTAAAGAGCAATTTTCAGAAAGAAAAGGACGTTTGGCTTTTCTTATACTAATAAGCGAAGAATGCTGTCGAAGTAAAAAAAAACTTATGCCTTATTGTTTGTCTTATTTTTTTTAAGAAACATCATTCCATACTATCTGTTTTTTTTATAATATTATGGCTTACTCCCCGAAAACAGTTTTCATTGTGTTATTACATATAAATTCTTAAAGCAGATTTTTATATTTTGTACCACATTAGATTTGTATGTGTATGCGGATATACGTCTCATTGCATTTGTCAAATTATAGGCTTTTTTGAGCATTTATTGTTGAAAGGTAGGGAACTTGTTGAACTCCTTCTCTACTTTTATCATTGTATCCTATAACGCTTGTGTTACAAGAGTATATTAAATCGATGCGGATTGTGTGAAACACCCGGGAGGACTTGAGATAGATCCTTTTTTTATTATAACGTCCGGTTGAGAAAGTGATTCTTAAGATCCTATCTAACTTTGTCTGTCCGTCTGTATATTTGTCGGCCTTGCTCTCTTATGTTCAACGCAGTAGCCGCAATTTTTAAGATAATTTGATAAGTTTTGTGACACCCGTGTATTTTGGCCCAAGAATGAACGATATTAAAAGTGGTTCGGACCGGCTGATTCTATTGTTGTGCCATGGTTAAGATTCAAAAGAATACTAGCAAGTGTTCCGATCTTCACTTTCTGGACGTTCGTTGCTTTTACTAGTGAAACTATATTAGGATTAACAAAAGAGTGGAGTGGGTAACTATAGTAACATAAATGTTTTTGAAGCTCAATCTTTTGAATTCAGTAATATTAGATGCCGCTACCGTGGAGTTGGCTCGCTCATTTTCGCAAAGACTAATATAACTTGTTATATAAGGTTTACTTTTATCTTCATAAATGTCAGTGATGTTCCTTAAAAAGAAGAAGATTCTGACCACTATTTGAATTTTTTCCGCGACGATTTGACGTACATTGTTTTTTGTATGCTGGGAGTGAAATATTAGTATAGTTGACTTTTAAACCCACGGGTGGGTTGAGGCGAAAAGTTCATAGGATAATTTCTTATCCAACATATATACAGGAGTTCATTTGCCGATTGGTATCTTTTATTACATTTCCAATTTAATAGAGAAATTCTATTTATGGCTCAACATATCCTAAGAAATACAAGCAAGTTGATCTTAAAGCACGTATGCAGATTGAAGTTTTCAAGTACAAAAAAAAGAAGATAAGACATTTGTTTCATTCTTTACTTCTGTTGTTGTTACCAACAAAATTTTCTAAGCATATGTGTTTTTAAATTAAGAGAATTAATCTCATTTATAAACCAGACATTAAAATGCGAATTTCCGAATTTGTTAAAGAAGGCATTAGAAGTTTTTTAAAAGTAATGCAAAAAAACTGCTTCTATGTTGTCATACCTTATATATGTGGAACAAGGAACTATTAAGTTTGTGCGATTGTACGCATCATTCAAAAGGACTTGAGATCATAAAAATTGAGAAAGTGATTCTGAGCCGATTTAAGCTTTCCTGATTGTCGGTCCATCCGTCCATTTTGTTTATTATATAAAGCTAAACTACTGCTGGTTACATTATCACACCATACACCGGTACCAAACAAAAAAATTTTCAATCAATCAAAATCGTGCAATTGAATATTTGTACTACTTCCTGTTTCTTTATCAATATGGCGCAAAAGACGAAGCGTTAAAGCAGATATTGTGGACGCCGGTTAGTATGTTGGGCTAAGGCTCGGCTTCAGAAATTACTGACTTCTGCGATTTTTAGAGCAAAGGTTGGCTCTGCCATAGGTGACTTGTTCTATGCTGTAAACAAGATCGGGGGAAATGGCGACGAGAGACTCGGATATTGAGGACTAGATTCGGACAAAAAGGCCTTTTTATAAAAATTCTCTTTTTAAAAGTTGATTAAAAGATAAATACTATTTTATTTTTATTTTTTACACCTTACCGCCTGCCGTGCTAGAGTGTGTTAATCTTGTGATTTAATACTTATGATAATTGATTTCTAAAATGAATATTTAAAAAAAATTCTTTCAAATTGTATTGAAAAATATTTAAAAAAAGTTTTTAATTAGGAATACCTTACAATCGACTCAACAGCTTAACTTTCTTATATATTTGTTTATCTTGTTTCTTTGTTCTGCTTTGACTTGTCTTGTGAAAATAAAAATTTTTTCAAAAAAAACCTTTAAATTAAGAACGAAGAAATTATTTTAAATATTGCTCTGCGTTTACTTAAACACCATTTCTCCGTTTGAGCTATCATAAAAAATAGTAAAATAAGATTTCACTAGCATTTTCATTCAAGGATGACAAGAAGCCTTTTACCAAACATTTGCAAACTATGTGAAAATTTTCGGGTGAATAAAGAATGAACAAAAACAAGTAAGAAAATCATAAACGGTTGTGACCGAATCTTTCGCATCCATCGCCGTTATTTTGAAACAAACTAAAAAATAAAGCAGAAGCTTCCTCTTGACACTCTACTTTATGGAGAACTAACAGATCGATCCGAACATGAAAAATAATGTGAATGACAACAAATCGTAAGAGCCTAAAATTTATAGTATAATTTTATCCGTGGTGGCAAAAACAAATAATCATGATATAATATTAGGTTTAATTATTACGATGAAAAAATTGCGTATACTTTAGGGAAAAAAACTTCATTTCCGATAGCAATCTTTTATTTAAATTTGCTTTAAAAATTAATTTTGTCTATAGGTAATGGATATATCGAAGGCACTGAATTAGATGGTTTAATTATTTTAGAAAAATAACAACTTCCTCGAAAACTTTCGATCACTGTCGATGCTTATTTGTCATTGGGAAAATGAATTCTGAATGGTTGCTGGTGTTTGGAAAGGATGCAAAAGATTACGTAAGCATAAGCGAAAATCGATCAGCGATCTCTAGACGTTTACAGCATAGCGTGAGCGTTGCTGATTTTTTCTATGAGTTTTAGTTGCATAGGCATGTGGGCTTTGCCTTTTTTAAATTCGTTTGCATATCAACCAATTTTGCAAATGGGACAGGGTTCACCATAGGTATTACTATAGGTATTATCCACTTGGGCAGACGGACATACGGACATGTCTAGCTGCATTCCAAATTTGACACTGTTCAAAAGTATGTATACATTGTGCGGTTTTTGCAGCTTGCTTCTAGGCGAGGCTTTCACGAAAAAAATTAAATTTTGTTGCACTATAATATGGGATGAGTGTGGCTAATGTTTTCAAATCTTGTACAGGTATTAGCGTGTTACTGCTTAAAGTCCAATGTGTGCTTGCCAGAAATAATATATATATGCGTATATGTACGGATAGATACAAGCACATATAATATTCTACAGCTTTGCTTTTATTAGAAAAAGAAAAAAAGGAAAAGAATGTAATAAAAAGAAATTGAAATATTTTTTACCTATTTTTAAGTGCTTTTAAAATTTTCTTTGTTAAATGCAGGCAGTCACCGACACAATGTTGGAGGAATTGAAGTCATGTTTTATGGAAGCCTACGATGATAATCAAGATGGTAAAATAGATATCAGGGAGGTAAGTAATAGGTAATAAAAGAAAACCTTAGCAAACGTTAAATTCATTTTCTGACTTTAAAATCAAAAGAAAAATTTGTTCTTTACCTTGCCTGCGTAGTAATACATAATACATTGAAAAGCTTTCGGTTGTTACATACAAAGAAAAGTATATAGTGAATGTTCAATTCTGAGAGATTTTCTCATGTAGAAAATTGAATAGAAGCCTTGACAACTTGAACTTATTCCCAAATTTGCATAAACAAATATTATTGCAGAAGGATGCTCTATGGCTTAAAAATTTTGTTTTATAATTTGCATAATACTAAGCATACTTTTTATATATATATACTTTTGGTTAAACTGTCTGCCTATTGTGTTAAAATTAAAATAAAGAAAATGGAAATCTTTTAAAGATACTGCTTTCGTATTTTATTATGGCTTTGAATATAAGAAATTTTCGGAAAAATAAAAGCCGAAACTCTCCGTCATTATGACAAAATAATTAATGTATTTTCATTTTTATGCTCTTTTGTTCTTCTTCCTATCTTCCTTTGTCTTTTTTTCGTTTTTTTTTTTTAGCTAGCACAATTGCTGCCTATGGAGGAGAATTTCCTGTTATTATTCCGGTTTGATAATCCACTGGAATCCAGTGTAGAATTTATGAAGGTAATAAAAAACGAAATGGAAAACTTTTTTTATACCATACATCATTGAAAGCTGGCGGGTATATACATTTTGTGGAAACATTTGCGACACTCGCACGGAAGTTTAATAGACACATATAAATTGTACATGTTCGTGATCAGTATCAGATTCTAAACCGATTTAAGAATAATCGTCTGTCCGCCCGGCTGTCCGAATGTCTGCATCTCTGGTTAATCTCTGTGGTAAACAATCTTCGCAGCTATAAGTTTGATATAAAAATTGAGAGTTCTTGCACGCAGGTTGGTACTGACTCTGAGCCAAACTGGTGAAAGGATACGACCACAGTGCAATATAATCTGAAACCACCTGTGTTTTCAAAAATAAGAAAATTTCCTTTTTGCTAACCGCTTACAAACCATAACAAATACAACGATAAAAATTTGCATTTATATTCTATTATCTTCCAGTCCTATGAAAAAATGAAAAGAATCGGCCACGTCCACGCAATATTATGGAGTATGAACATTTAATTTTTTTTCTTTCAATCTTTCTTAAAATAACGGTGTTAAGTATAAGAAATTCGATCGCGGCCGAATATAGTTTTCTTTATTGTTTCTTTTTTTTCTTCCTTTTGGTATAATAAGCGGGGATCATATTTTGATGACAAAATTTATAATTTGTTTATGCAGAAAACTCTTCTAGAGCATATAAATTGTTTTGCAGAATATTATTTACACTAATGATAGAGTTTTTTCTTTCTTTCATGTTGCAATTGTCACAGTAAATAAAGTGAAATTTATTGGTAACATTTGTTTTCACTTTTTTTCAGATTTGGCGTGAATATGATACTGATAACTCGGGTTATATAGAAGCCGATGAGCTTAAGAATTTTCTAAGAGACTTATTAAAGGAAGCTAAGAAAATAAACGATGTCTCTGAAGACAAATTAATTGAGTATACAGATACTATGGTAAGTGTTAGCATAAAAATTATAATAAATTTAAAAAGCACATTGTAAATGAAGTTATTAAAAATTATTAACTCTAGCAAAAGTGTAAAAAGTGGATATATTTTTTTTATACAACACTATGCGTATATAAAACACAGAAAGGTGTTCATTATACCTACCTAAGCTACTCTGTCTACGTGTCCCTTTAATGTATTTTCGAGTTCAACATACAGATCGCAATTTCGGCTTAAGAACGAACGCTATTGAAAATGGTTCACTTCGGATCACTTTTTTAATCAATATCCGCTTCTGTTATCATTCCCCACCTAATGGAAAGTTAGTGTTGGGAAAAATGGTGTGGGGTTTTTAACGAACTCTTTTCGAAACTATTATGTTTTCATTTGTTTTAATGGCCTACCCTACCCTACCCTACCACCTATGGTACATGGATATTAAGTCTGTGCGAAAGTCAGGAGTACTTGAGATCGATTCGGAATAACTTTCTAAGTAGATTTAAGCTTATCCGTGTTTCTGTCCGTCTTGTTTTCTTAGAATGCTCTTCAAAATAGTTCCGATCGGAGCACCTTTTCGATCGTTTTCCATACAACGCAGTTTTTTTCACTTCTTTTTTTTTTTGATTTATAATTTATGGTATTAGTAAATGTACAGTAATTGCTTGCTTAGAGTTTTCATAAGAACTAATTTAATGTGGCTTTTATTGCAGAAAGCAAGATATACTAAAAGATAAACAAAGAGATGAACAGTAATAGTTAACATAACAATAAGATAAACTATTCCGTGCAAACGTTTATTACTTTTAACGTATTGTATCGAAATGGCTATTAAGTGCGGTGCATTTCAATTCTCTCGCTTCTTGCAAAACTAGCACGGCTTAAGATATTTTAACCTGATACAAATATGTCATATATATGTGACGGTGCTTATATGTGACGGTTGGCTAATGAGTTATATCAATGGAAAACTAAATTTTCAAGCAGACTATAGCTTAATTTAGCTGAAGTGTAATCCTTTTGGGGATGCAGAAATATTTTATGACAGATTAATAAGGCAGCCATTTGTAGTACCTCCTAGAGCACCGGCAGATATTCTCTGCTTTCATATCTCTATATTTGATTTCTAAACGCTTCCATTAAAATATAAATTCAAATAACGACACGATGAAACACGTCAGTGCTTCCAAACATTTAGTTTAGACTCTAAAGATTTTGTTTTAAATAAAAACAAGAATGCTTTACCGCCAGACGATTTATGACAAAATAGTTTTTATAGATCTCTTTTTTGCGTTTATATACACAATTCCTATTAGTCGTAAAATCTACTCTTAGCTCTATCGAAATCTATTGTTTACATTCTTGAAAAATCATAATCATTTTGATACACTTATGTGAAGTGTCGCCTCGCATTACATTTTTATTTACAAATGCGTGCAACGCCTCTGTTATTGCAAATGTATCAATGGTATGAAGGAATGATTTCAGTTTTATTTACAATTTCTTATTTTGTTAAGAGAAGGTTGTATATGGATTCACTACATTTTGTGTTTCTGCTCTACAATATACTAAAGTGCAATATTTCTATCGCCTTGCTTTATAAAGAAAAACCTTTTTTTACAAGTAAATCCTTGCCAAGCAAGAAGTATCCAAATTTTAGTTTTTCAAAATGTCGATTAGCGGGAATGTGAAGCTTCGTAGTAGAGTTTGATTTTAAATTATTTTCCGGGATTTTTCGGTGATTTAGTTCCAATCTTATCAAGGCACATTTCAACTATATTTTCAACTACTTTTTAACAATTTCATATCGCATTGGATTGGAAAAAATATATGTCCTGCGTATTATATTTTATGTTTATACGTTACTTGAAAGGACATCAATAGTCAAAGCTGTTTTTGCACGTATTTTTCACTTTTTATTTGTGCAATTTATATTGTTTGCGCGATTGGGTATGGAATTTGTTTTGCCAAATTTTTTTTCTATTCTATGTAAATATATGTACAGAAAGAATGGGATAGGAAGATACACGCAAAATGAAAAATTCAAATTTATTAAAACGTTTAGAACGTAAGAACTAATGGAAAAAAATTTGTATTTAAAAATTTATTTAAATTTTTATCATGTTAGATTGATGTCCGCATGGTTGACTAGGTAAAGGAGTAACAACTTAATGGTCGTGGGTTCAAATCACCACTTGTGTCTTAGTGACACCAGCAGATAGTCTTAGTGCTAGTGCTAGTGCTTTAAGAATTTAGTCTTAGAATTTATTTCTCTGGCTAAATTAATAACAATAGTAATAATCATAGATCGACAGGAGAGTTCTATCGTATTTTAAATGAAATATTTTAATTTTGAAGAGGTTTGATGTGTTCCTCAGCAGTCGAGTAATGTTCTTTTGCGATTGGAAAGTGATTAGAAGAGAGTTTTTCACCGACACGGGGCATAAAATATCATATATTACCCAGAAAGTCAATCTTCTTTGAGACTCTAATCTCCATAACGAAATCTGGCGAAGCATCCTTGGCATCCTTCATTCATTCAAAGTTAGCTCTCTTTGACGGTAAAGGATGACGATAAAGGGTTTGAACAAATAAAAGAAGTTAAAGTAATTGTCGATCAATTTTACGGGTACGCGATTTAATCTCTCGAAGGTAAGCAATATAAAGAGGCAGACCGGATTGATAAATTTAAAATCTCATGCTAATTAAAAAGTGGAAATTAAGAATTATTTAAAATAAATACTAATAATTTGATGTGAAAAATTAACAAAACAAATCAATTCGTTAATGGTATTTGTAGAAATTAATTCCGGTTGTGTTAAATTGTGTATAACGTTTCCTGTGCATCGTTCATTTGTAAAAACAATCATGGTTTACAATGCTTATGACTTTGGTTAATGAATGCAATTTTTTTTCATGTTAGTTGTCAAATTTTATTAAGTTTGCCATCATTGTATAAGTTGTCGTCACTGTTATGCACAGGAGAAATATAACACGTTCTGGTTGTTGGGCCGCCGTCCTGTTTTGCATTTAACATTTGAAAGCGATATTAAAGCCATTGTCATTCCCCTCGGCTAATCTTATAAACATGCATTATAAAATTCATTTATTTAAGTCTTGCATTCTGTCCTACACCTTTTGGCTATTCGCGGCCTTGTAGCCTTTATTGTTTCGTAGAAACTAATTGTTATTCAGTCAACAGATCAGTTGAGCGACGTCGGTGCTACAACGTTGCAATGTCTCAGCTTACACTCTCCGGAACTCGGAATTATTTTTTTGTGAAGGAAGGAAACGTTTCGGCGGCTTTTCACAAACTTTCGAGCAACTTATTATCTTGATCTTCTTAGATAACCATTCTTAGGCCTTTCCATACTGAACGAAAACTGTGCTGATTTTTACAAGCAAACATTGCATTATTTCTTGAGACTTAGTGTTACTTGCGTATTCTTTTATACTTCAATTTAAATTATTTTAGCACAATAGAGCTTTACGTGTCTTGATCGCGTAATTATACATAACTTAGCAAAACGTGTAATTGATCCAACTAAAATTCTGCTTGCTAAGCGCAAATGTACTTCTGTCTGCTTGTGAATTGTACTGAAATTAGATCAGTTTTTTGTTTTTGCATCACTTAATCATTTAATCATTATTTCGCTTATATTTGCATTTACCATTCAATTATTGTTCACTAAACACTTCAACAATCTTTCCAAATTTGACTATTGTAGAAATTATACAAAAATTTCTTATCAAAAGCGTAAGTTATGCATCGGCTTCATTTTACGCCCTTATAGTTGTCCTTATAAAAGTATGGGAAATATTCTAATCGTCGTATATTCGTTGCAGCAAAAAAGCTAGTAAAACGCACCATTAGGAATTTATCAAGGAATATTAGGAATGTTAGGAATTTATATTCTATCATAAGAGAGGCATGTGCGAAATTCGAAGATTTTTACTACTTCATCACAATTTTTCGCAAGTGACATATTTTATGCATTTTCTGTGTCCGGAAGAATTTTCATTTCTATGGAATTCTTTTACTGTATAAACTTTCTTGTTTAACTTAATGAGCTGTTTATTATTATTTCATATATTTTAAGCAACGTTTCATGTTAACTGACTGATTTTAAAGCCGCCGACAAATATGTTCCACTTCGTCTGATAGACAACGAATTGAAAATCGTATATATAACAAGTACGTGCGTGAACATGACTTAGATAGAGAATGCTCAGAATTCAACTTCAAGATGATAAAAGTCAATCTATTTTGCTTTACTCTTATTCTTTTTTACTTATTTATCATTAACCCGTTGCACCAGAGAGTCTAAACATCGGAAAAATATGTGACACGTGATAAAATATGTTCTGAACTAATAATCAAAAAAATTTGTGACGTGAATTTTTCGCGATAACTTACATTATGTAAGCCAATAACTAAGTTCTTGTTAATAGTTTAATAAAAATTAAAAGGAACAAACTTGAATATTTTTTGAATTTTTTTCTAATTCTGCTTTAACTTTGTTTTACTATTAATATAAAAACTTTTCCCTTGAAAAAGAAGCAAAAAAATAAAAAAACGCTGTTGTTATGTTTTATGATTATCACTAAGAAAAGTTCTCAAAACTATGCAACAATCAGTTTTAATTAGTTGGCCTGAATGTTTTACAAATGTTTTACAGTAGCTTTTTCTTACTTACTTCTTTTGGAATTATATCATAGCACTTTTTTCATGTCAATTTGAATATAAATATAAAGGCCGTAGAAAGATAATAAATGAATAATGCGTAATTAAAAATACATGTATATCGATAAAATTTTATAAATTGTATTCGTATAATTATTTATAAACAAAATCAGAAAAAAAACAATATTTTTAGAAAATAAAATGCCTTACGATTCTATAAAAAAGTAAAACCAATTTTCAAGATGTTAAAAAATAATTAACATAAAATTAACATATTTTTTGTATTTCAAGTTGCAAGTTTTTGATGCAAACAAAGATGGCCGTCTCCAACTTTCCGAAATGGCGAAGTAAGTGTCTTATTCTTTTAATTTTTAAAGTATCGAAAATATTTCATAATTTATTAGAATTTTCTCATTGAGATTAGTAATATCAACTTAAAGACATTATTCGATCATTTTCTAATAAAACCTTAAAGCGGATAAGTAATTGATTAGTGAAGAGGAAATTGCGAGTTTTGAAATATGTGTGATAGAAACTTGACATGCAATTGTTTTATTTAAAGCAAATACTTTCTCTGTTTCCTAAAACAAATATCATGAAATAGTCTGGCAATCTGCTACTTAGATAAGAAAAGGTTTCATAAACAAAGCCTTGAGATGTACAAATGAAAAAAATTACAAGAGGCACTTGTCTTATTAATTTTTCGCTTTGTTATTTAAAGAGCTGCAGAAAATCTTTGCATAAAGGGCATCACCAACGACAGAACTTAAGCAGTTATTCAACTGTTTCATAAGTTTTAATCGAAATCCGAGGCTAAACTTAACGTTGTTGAAGAAGTACTTTGCGTACTTTACTAATAGCGCCTTTCTTTCCCTCCTTTACTTATACTATGTCGTTTCTTTCTACTTTTTGGAGCCTTAAATCGTTAATGTGTATAGTTTTTTAGTTTTATCTTTTATAATACGATAACGATTAGAAGTTATAGAAACAAGTCAATGCTGATTTTTTTTTTTTTTTTTTTTTTTTTTTAAGAAAAGTGTTTATTTGAGATTTTTAAAAAGCTTGTTTTTGAAAGCATTTTCCTTCGTTAGCCAGAAATATTTGTCTTCTCTCCCACAATTTATCTTTAGACCCTATCTATGTTAGCGCACGACTTTCACGTATCTTCATAAAAACGGACACGAGCGTCAGGTAGATAATAAGTCGTCGATTGTGACAAATGTTAATGTATTGAAAGTAATGATTATAAACATTTGGCTTTCCCGTTGTATTTTTCTATTATTCGGAACTAACCTTATGCCTAAAGTGATGTGTTTTATGCCTGTGACTGAATGATTTTCTTGAAACATCCGTAACATTTAGAAGGAAGCTTGAAAGTTCCAGTAAAGTCTATATTGGCCAGTGACAAATTCGAAATACATCTAAGCGCGATCGTTTATTCGTCTATCAATCTACGCCTTCGCCTTTCTGCGTGATATGTGTTTGAGCGGCTTCGGCTTCAGGAAACATTGCAATAAGTTCTTGGAAGTAGATTGGTATTAAAGGTGGCTCAATTAAAGAGCGCGTACATAGAGCAACGTAACATGAGAAAACCTCCGCTTTCTGGTCTCTTGCCAATAACTCATAAGCTACGATAGATGCACGATGAAAATTCCTCTGTTTTCTATAAAAATAAAAAAATATCAACCACGCGTGCTTAATATTAGGGAGTCCGCAAATTCGATTTTTTTGTCTTGTTTTGTCTTTGTACCCAACATCACTTGAGTATTCATGCAAAGCTAAGAAGGACCTGAGGTGAACCCATTTTTTATTATCCATTCAGAATCACCTTCTGAAACAGTCTAAGCCTAAGTCCTTCATTTTTGTGTTCTATTACATTCGGCAATTCTTGAAATATTTTTCGGAAATTTATTACACTGACATGTTTTGATCCAAGGACGAACGCTTTTGAAAACGGTTCGAATACAAAATCTTCTTCCCATACAACGATTTTTTAAAATAAAGTGTAAAAAGTAACTGCATTAAACGAATGGTGCAGTTTGTTTCAGAGGGTATAAAGTCTTCACTACTCTTTCCCATTATATAAAATGACTACTCAGAAGGGTATAAGATAATCGAACAGATTCATTAAAGTTTAGAATTTTTTACTACTTCCGTCACTGTTTTCCTTTCTTTAATTTTTGTAATTTTTTCTCTTCACAGATTGCTTCCCGTAAAAGAAAATTTCCTTTGCCGCCAAGTATTTAAGGCAAGTATTAGCATGAATATCGACGCTATAAGCGAAAATCTTCGCGTAACTTAGTAGAAAAAAACTATACGTTTTAGTGGTGAAGAAAAAAAAAAAGTTGCATTTGTTTTGCATAATCTCGTAACATTTTCTTTATTGAGCACAAATTAATTTAAAGATATATAATTTTTTCATGAAGCTCTTAGTTTGGTTTTAAATTCTTTCAACATAACGTAATTTTTCTTTATTGTATTTGTTTGCAAGTTGTTTCACGCATAATTAAGTCGAATCATTTGTACAGGGTGTGACACGAAAAGCTTATGGGAAGTGAAAACATTATTTAGGCGCACGGTATATAGAAAGTCTTAATTACAGAAAAGTGTTTTATTTTTAATTGTTTACGACCTTTTTACAATCTTAGTTTTTTATATCCATCAAAGAAAAGAGAGAGGTCCATAAAGTATATATATATATATATATATGTTTCGTTCATACATCTGCTCCATGTTTTTGGGGCTATCAAGCGAGAAGAAAACTATCGGCATAGCAGATGGTACTCTAAAACGGGGCAGCAAAGCTTTCTTGATCGTCGTGAATCATTGAGACAATCTCAGCAAGCAAGAGCACGTATAAGAACTTCTAGTGCAGTCAGATTTGGAATCACGTTGGTTCCATCAATGAATCCATATTTTTATTAATTTATCTTTAACATAATCCTTGAAACAGAACGGCGAGTAATATGCCAACGGAAATTATCCTTTATTTCGAGTTTACAGGCAATCAGTGAAAGCAAAATCAATCTTTATCTCTGTCTCTCTTTCTTTCTCTCTCTCTCTCTCTCTCTCTCTCTCTCTTTATTCCCCTATCTCCCCCCTCTCTTCCCTTTTTTCTCTGTAGATGCTCAGTAACAAACTTGAAATTTCCATATCTCGTAATTTACTTAATTTAATTTCAATTTCTCAAGAAATGACAATAAATATCAAATTTGCCTTTAAATTGAACTGAGATTTAAATTTAAGCTTAATTTAGTTTCGATGGATTTTTTCCATAAACGAAAGGCAAAAAAGCGTATGGAAATAAAATTGTGCCAAAAACAAAAATTTTAATAAATAATAATATTTATACTTAATACTTTGTTTTTTTTATTTTTTAACAGAAATTCGTTTATAATTTGTTTTTTTAAAGGAAAGTTTCGTTGTTTTAACACAATAACATGTTCTATGTCAATAAAAGCGTAAATGTTTATATATATTATACATACATTTATGTTGTTTACCTACCGCTTAAGCTTATATTTCAATGCCTGTACTTCTCACTATACGTTTGAATGTGTAAGCACGTGTTTGCATATTAGGTCTTTGCTATTTATATAGTTATTGTGTGGTTGCAGTTTGTGTTGTATATGAATGTATTTGAATGGCGATGACGTTGTGAACGCAGCTATTTATTAAAATATATTCCACAGACGTCGTCGTTAGAAAAAGAGCTAAGGCAAAGTTCAAGGATTTACTGTTTTCAACATTCAAAAGCAACATAAAAAAGAAAAAAGAAAATATGTATAGTTACATACACATTTTCCGTTGTTTGTTCAAGGTCTTACGCTCATGCGTAGGAGTTAGCTTTTCTATGTATTCATGTCCTTCACCAAAGGATAAGTATTATGGTCGTTCCTTTTGTAGAACACAAAAATACTAATCATAAACCTCGTTCGTAGTGTATTTATATTTTTCGATGGCATGAGAATCAGCTTAACTGTGTTCATCTAAGTGCTATCTCATAAAGATTTTAAAAATGAAATCTCATTCATGCATTTTTACTAGAAACTCGTTGATAACTCGTTGGACTTTGTCCAGAAAATAAACCTAATAATGGAAAAGCTAATACCAGCATTCTTCCCAGGATCAAAGTATGTTAGAGTACAAAGTCTTACGCGAATATCTTAAAAATTGCTGCCCTTAGGTTAATTTAAATATTTTTAACAAAAATTTGCAATACTATCCGGAATCTAGAATAATAAGATAGTAGATCCACACAAAAATTTTGCGCGCATAGCAAGCAGTAGGGGTTTCAAATTTGAATAGATATACCATTAGATATTAAATACTTTTAAAGCAACTTACATTCGCGTAGGCTGCTGAGGGAGACCATTAAATGTCCTATGCCCAACATCCCTTTTTCACCTTTCACCGTACGAGGGCTTGCCTTTTATGAGAATCGTTGTAGCGGAGCGGGTCCAATTCATGAGCGGACGCAGTTCAAGCTTAGCAAAGTAAATTTTTTTCAAAGAAATTATAAATTTTTGTTGAATGCTAAGAATGCCTTTTCCCCATATAAAGGCATAATTTTAATGAAAACTTTTATACAAAAAGAAAATTGAAACGTATGCTTACGCTGTCCAGATTTGGTGCACTTAGTTTTTGTTATTATTATTTATTATATATTATTTTATTATTCTGATATAGACTAATTTTTATTAGGACAGTTTGAGAATTCGATATTTTGCCCTTTTGGTTTTATATTCATGAGAGCCCTTATCCTGAGATGGATTTAAAAGATAGAACTGCGCTATCTAAACTTGCTACTGGAAACTTTCCCAGATCCATTTCTCTAATGAAACATTAAAAACTTTAATTTGCGCCAACGTGAGAGCTCTTACATGAGAATGGTTAAGAAAGTAGTACCATCTGATTCAAAATTTCCACACTTGATTACTATGTCCAAGTACTATTTTCAAACCATTTTGGCTGAAAATATCTCAAACGTTTTTTCACATAATGAGATTTACAACGAAGTTTTATATGAGAAAAAGTTATGAAAATGTTCCGATCCGATCCTTGTCAGAAAATGATTCTGATTAATATAATGATATTTAATTGCATCCCCAGTCCTTCTGAGTCCAAGTCCTAATGTGCACTTACCACCGATAGCGTAGGATGTAAAAAAAACGAGGCAATAAAAAAATTATTTCCTCTCATTTGTGATTTTTGCTATCACATACACAAAAAAGAGCTTGTGTGTCTCTAAACGTGCGCGCAGATGGTTTTCCCTTACGTTTACGAGTTGTTTGCATTTGTACAGTGACCCATTTCTGTAGCGCTAGATATTTTGGATTTATCGTTCTTTTCGTAACAGCAACAAAAAAAAATTCTTTCCGGCAGGATACAAGAATTAGATAAAGTTTATTGAGTGTGGACTAACCAAGGCTAGGATTACGTTAAAACTTTTGAAGGATATGTTTACACATTTACGTCAACTTCAGGAATGTTTTGAGACTGAATGTGTTCTTACTTCGTTTTGAATTCTCAAGTGAACAAGTTTTGCTTGTAGCGAGTTGGTGATGAATGCTTGCTATAAATTTTAAACCATACTGGACGTCTAGCGGTCGCTTTCGAATTTGATCCACATCGCTCGATCAAGAGCATTTGCCGGAAAAAAGAGAGGAAAGAATTACAGTTTCATTATTTATAATATGGGATGCTGCTGTTTTTTTCTAAAATATGCGTTTATAAGTAACAAACGAAAAACATGGGAGGCAAAAGTGTTCGAAGTATTTGTTATATAGGCGTATGTGGCGTATTTTTCAAATTCCCACGCAAGTTTGTAGCCGATACTCTTATTTTTAGGAAAGGACGAATGTTAATCAGAGATTCCACACGGCAGCGCAGACGAACGGATGGATAGATGAACGGACGCACATGCTTACGTGCATTCCGAATTTGAAACTGGTGAAGAATTTATATTGTACATGCGGTTTTTGAAGAGTGGCTCTGTTTGTTATAAAGTTTTTGAAAAAAATGTAATAATGGCAGTACTGCGATTTCTTCCAGTTTTATAGAAATATTAGCATCACCCTTATAACATACATTCATATTTTTATAGAATTGTCTTCTGTAATTTGTGAGTAGTGAGCAAAAGAACCAATTTTTTAACAGAGGCTTACTCCTGTAGCCGTGCCCTTCGACTGATTTCGCCCGTTTTCAATGCCAACCTGCGTGCTAGAACTTCTAGTGTTTCTGCCAAATTTGAAGTGGACAGGTTCATCTTTGCGGTCAGGACAATGTTTACAACAGACATTGCACAGGCGGGCAGAGGGACATGCTTAAAATTAAAGAATAAACATACTTTGCATTGTCTCTGAACCTTCCTTCTGGCCTTTTCAAATGTTCTCACAAAATGAATGCACCCCTTATCTTTCGCCGATGTGTACGATTAAAAGGATCTCGGTGTTTTCAGTTACAATGTATAGTTTTATTTATTTGGCGGGATTTAACACGAATTACCGCATTATTAGCTTGATTCTGCCTATTCGTCTACTCTTCTCCATATGTCGATACGCTTAGATTTTTGTCCACTTTTAAAATTATTTTGGTCTGAAATATTCGCCCCACTTTTCAACTTTTCACCGATTTAATCTATCTCACTCTATCACTTCACTAAATAATAAATAAAAAAAAATTATTATAGATGTTTAAAATATTAAAAAAATCAATTTTTATTATTACATGCCACGGCAAAAAACTGAATAGTTTTCCCCATGAACGGGATTTTTTTCGTCATCATTTCATATAAGTTTATTTACTTATTTTTTTTTTTTTTAAGCGTTGAGAAGAGCGCGAAATTTTAAAACAAATTTTTTTAAATCTAGTTTTTGGCACAATTTTATCGAATGCATGTAAGTCAATGAATTACATCCCTGTATGAATGATATCTCAGCTCAGAACTATCAAAAACAATTATTTCTACGGCTTAGCGAAACGAAATGAACCTTTGTTTAATTTGCTCCCATGTGTTTGCCATGTAAGTTTTTTATTTTGTTAATTTCTTTTCCGACATTTAATCTTAATCGAACACCTCTAACGCGAAACTATTCTTCTAAAAATAAATACACATGTATACTATATCTGTTTTTCTCTTTTCCTCCCTAAAACCGTAATATTTTTTTCATGTATTTTCCGCATAACTTCCGATACTCTTTCACTCTTTCTCACAACAATCATTGTCTCGCCAATTAGAAAACAACTGTTTTATTTTTCATTAAATGTAAAACTATTTTATTTCTTTGAAAACTTTAAAGTAAAAGCTTTATACCTTCACAATCACCAGAAAAATAATAAAACAATTTTAATAAATTGAATAAACTACAAACAATAAGGTGAAATGAAAACTAGTAAAAAAAACAAAATTCATTAAATATTGATTTGAAGTATTTAAAAAAGAAAGCGGAAAATTTATGGTCATATCCTAGAAAAAACCTTCAAGAGAAGCGTTTTGAGATGTTGTTCATTTTTATTCTACCACAAATCGATAACACAGAAATTAAGTTCAACTAACTCAAGTTGCTTTCACTAGTAAAGGGACCCTTAACTGAACAATTATTTTCAAATCCAAACGAACTCTGTAAGAAATTACGTTTTTTATTTCTTAATTTATTATGTTTTTATTCATCATTATCAAGGACGGTTCGTCATCTTTCCTAATCGTTCTCAATTCCCCCTCCACATGACTCAAGGCGTCTCCTGGGTAAGATAGGTCAAGGGGTTGATTTTGTAGCGTGACTTCCAGAAAGGTACTGTTTAAAAAGCTTTGTGTTAGCTTTGCTAAAGCACCCACTTTTCATTTTCCTTATCTCTGCATCTTCTCAGGTTCATTTATTTATTAAAGCCACTCACCTTATTGTTAATTATAGAAGTTTATGTTGGCGCGCTTTAGTCAAAAAATCATGCTATAGGTTTTCGTAATTGCGAAGTTGAATTTTTTCTAAACGGCTTTTATAAACTGAACCAAGAATGCATAACATCATCACTTAATAAAATCTTAGGATAGGTAGCCATTTTTCCGCCTCAACGTTTCGGGCTTACTTTTTATGACCATTTCTATGACAAATATACATAAATAAGCCGAAAATACAAGTTTGTAAGATACTAAAACCAATACAAAGCTTTTCTTGGTCAGTGTCGATAAGAAGGCATCCGCAATAAAAACCAAGTCTGCGATAAAAGATAATACAATCTATAAATTACAATTTAAACATTCTTTACAAAAAGTTTGGAGTAAAAACAAATAAAGTTAACTTAAAGGAATAGGCATACATCGGTCAATAATATAACTTTATCCGTAAACATGGTCTCATTCAAAAGTTATAGTATCAGTGCGATGCTGCTGTAAGCGCTTTTTTTAAACAGCTAGTTTTTTATAAACCGATTTCCCGAGACTCTCGAAAAATATTGTAGCTCGCACAATGACATCATTAATCATTTCATCAAGACTTATTGTCTTGAATATATCTTTGAAATTTGAATGATGATATACGTCGGGGGCTAGATAAGCAGAATACATTGAATGCGAGAGAAATTGAAATTTTAAAAGCGATTTGGCAATGTAATGATTTTGAGAATTATCTTAATTAAAGAGCCTTTTTTCTATCTTATTCAAGGTCACTTCTTTGGTGATTTTTTTCTTGCAAGCCAATCAAAAGTCATATAATAATCGCTATTCATTATTCTCTCTCTTTTAAGATAGTCGATAAGGAAAATTCCAAGTGCGCTTCATACACAATAAACCTGTCCACACATTGGTAATTTTTTTATTGCTTTGCACGACTCCCATCGAGTCCTTTTACCTTAATGAACTGTTGATTCGTGTGTGTGTATAAACCTTAAATGACTCTGCAAAATTGCTTGCTCTTTTTTTCAATTTTCAAGCAGAATACACCGTCTTTTGATGTTTTTATAATGCCAGCTGTCGGTAGCAAGTTCACTTTTCGATTGCAGACAATGAATTCAACAAATTTTGAAGTTTTCGGATGTAACCGTCTTTTCCGAGCTCCCTTCTTTCGGTGTCATCGGTACACATATGACTTCATTCGAAATTAGCAAATCTCCGACAAATTATTTTCAACAGAGAAAAGTTTCCATAACAATTTTCAAGCCTAATGCTAAGTTTGAAAGATAGTTTTTTGCCCATCGAAAAGCAACGTTTAAAGGTCTTTTCCATTGACATGAAAATAACAGGAGCGGCGCCAATTAAAATTTTTGTAACTCGTAGACAAACAAGCACAATAACGTTAAATTATGAAAGGCATAGTACGGTTTATTCTAGAGATGACAGCTATTTGTCAGGTTCGGAATGCGGATCGTTGTGTTAATTTAACAAATAATCGTTGTGGACAAGAGAAGATAATGCGAAACATAATAAAATACAAAAATTATATTCGATTTGAACTGAATCTTGCAAACTCGATAACCATACAAATATTTAGTTGGACGATAAATCAAAGCTGCATTGAAAGAACTGTGTCTAAAATGTATAACCAATTGATTTTTTAAATACACTCATTATTCCAACACTATCTCGTCGCTTTCAAAGCAATCCACAAATACGAATATTTTAACAATTTGGCCCGGGGGATGGAGTTCTTAGTGCGCCACATCGCATAATCGAAGAAATTAATTAACGTCAGCTTAATTTTTGAACGGTTTCGGTCCTAACTCACCTTTTACACGATATTAAATCGACTGATCGGTTTTTTCCGGGTGGTATTTCTGATACTCTGTATAACCCGGCAAATTTAACATAAATAATGGTCTTGGTCTTTTTGATTACAGTATTCATCCCCTGAGTGATACGTCGCACTAAGAAAAAACAAAATTTTTTTTCCATTTATGAGAGTGACAAACAAAATTTTTAAGTCACAATTGTCACTACAATAAGGGGACAGTGGACATCACTAAATATTGTAACAACTTTAGGAGGTATAAGCTGATAAACTTACTTTTAATAAAAATAATAATAAAATTAAGAATTTATACATAATTAAATTATAAAAAAATAAATTATTAATTAAAAGTATCTTTTGCACTCATTATTATCATGCAAATTAATTTTCCAAATAAGCAACATAATAAGATATAAGTTATAATTTTTTTAAATTAATTTATTTAAAAAAGAATTTATTCTGTTTTTTTTTTTACTTAATTTCCCTCTAAATTTAAATACAAAAATTAAAAACTTGTTTGCACTAAAGTTTCTACTTAAATGTTCACATTTCAAAATTAAAATTCAGTTATTTGTACACATTTAATAATGATAAACAAAAAGTACTAATAATAATAAAAAAACAATCGTACAACAATTACTATACAACGACAATAACATCAATTATTATGACTACAACTACCACCATCACAATTACCAACTAACTCATCCACTTTACATGATTAAATAGGAAGGTATTGAAGTAAGTACAAATACTAAAACAAGTTAACAAACAGTAACTACAACATTCGTATTTGTTTGCATAACATTGGCAAAAAAAAAAAAAAAAAAAACATGTAAAAATTTTTTCAATGTTTTTCGGTTTTAAATATTTTTCGTACTTAAAGTTGTTAATAATGTTTTTTAAAGTAAAACTAAAGTTCTTTATATAATATTTGTTATCCTTCTTTTTTCTTTGGATTGACACTGAACATATACTATAATATACAAAATCACGAAAGAAAAAACTTTAAAATTTAATAAGCCTTTAAAGCTTGGAAAAAGCTTGCCTCTATGACTTTATATTCGTATGCTATTTTTGTTTTCTTCTTTCATGTGTTTTTCGAAAAACTTTTCTATAGAGAGTTAATGTGCATGAAGTTTTCTGTTCTTCTCTATATACATTAAAAAGTTTTAGTGAATATATTGCTATTTTGTTTTTTTTTTCATTTAATTTGAAGCTCGCCACCTAAGACTAATAAGAGAATATTAACTTTGTCTTTCAGTTTATAGTCGTATCAAAAAGTATAAATTGCAGTATTTTTCTTCTCCTTCCCCATCAAAAAAAAATCAAACTTCAGAATGCTCTCGAGATTATTGTTATAGGACGATAAGTTGGTCCAATCGTGTCTTCCGCTTTTATCAGCCTTTACAAGAGAAAAGGATACCGCTGCTAAATTATTTCTACCTTTTATTAATAGATTCTCAAGTAATTTAGTTATGTCTGCCTGTTCAGTCATTGTTGATATTTCCTTGAAAAAAAAATTTCATGAAGTTCTAAGTTGCTTTAGCAATATCCATCCGCATATCCAGTGGTGGAGTTCTAAAAAAAAAAGATATTTATATATTAATTATATATAAATACAAAGAAATTTGTGCTACCGTTCGTCCGTCAATTCATTATATTTTAAAAAGGAATCCCCTCCGCACGTCCAGTGATCAAATTCTAAAAGGAAAAATGTATTAGAAACTTGTATATCCGTTCTATATATCTAAATGGTTTTAGCAATAAACGTTCGGACTGTGTTTCTTAACTGAAAAGTTTTTCAGAAGTTAGTATGCCTGATCATCTGTCCGTCCATTCTTTCCATTCGAACATGAAGTATACATCGAATGCTCTATTTGAATTTTATAGTTTCGACGGGTCTTTGAGTTGATTTAAGAATGTTTCTAAGAAGAATTGTGCAATAGAACTTTCATAATTTATGGCTTACATTAGTCATCAATCTAAGATAAATGATATGTTATGCCTAATAACACGTTCCATATAAATTTGAAAATGAGCACCATTTGTACTTTCATGTATGTTTGTTGGTTTAAGGTGGTGGGTAACCAAGACTCGTCACAAAGGCGAGCGTGGCTTTTGTTTTTGCATTTTTCTTTCAGCAAAATGGTTGAAAATGTGTAGTTAATATTAACGCGATCAAAATGAATTTACTTAGAATTCATAGTAAGCTAATAAATCGACATTGGCCTTAATTCAAAGAAAACTCCATGTAAATTAAATTAAATAAAATATTAAAAAGGAACGAAAATTGAAAATGATGCTGCACTTCAATGAGTGGAAAATTTCCCTAACTTAACCTGATACGAAACACTTCTAAACGGATTGAATGCCTTGAGTTTGAAAATAAAAAAAGGGGCTAAAAATATTTTCTTTAATGAGAATTTGACTCCTCTAAAGCTTAGAAATGAAACTTAAATTGCTCTTTATCAACATGCTATATATTTCTTCAGCAAAGGTTAGAAATAATTTATAAGCAGATTACCTAAGCAAACCTAAGGAAATTGTGCACTATGATGAGAGCTAAATTGATCGTTGCGCTGTGCTACAGCATGGTTTCAATTCTACTATATAATCATGGGAGAATGCAAAAGATTCACTAACTTACCTAACTGTTTTATAAACCCTGATAATCCAAAATTTTGTGCTGATGAAGGGCACATAAAAAATTTCCTATTAAAAACCCCTTACTAAAGTTCGTTGCCAATAAGAACAATATTGCGCATTGTTCATCTTGTTGATGCGTTCGTTTTGTCTGTAGACTTACTCAAACCATGTCATGATGTTATACACTTCTTATAGGAATTTTTCGGCTTCTTTTAAACCTGCAACTGTTCCAAGCTACGCCCGAAAAGCCATACCATCCATCCATAATCATAAATAACTAAATCTGTAATTGCTTTGCCAAAATCTATAGATTAAGGGGTATTACCTTATTTTCCTTTCCTCTTTTTTCAATATTTCCATTTTCTCTTATCATGCGTTAAATATTTGAAAACGACAATCAAAAGATTTTATCCTCAAAGGTATGTTTTTTGTATTTCTCGAAAAGTTCACTTTTCGGGCGAAGCCAATGCATAGAGTCTTAAAAACTCATCATGTTTTTTGATCTGACCGTATTTTTATATTTTTTTCGTTTGATTTACTTGGAGTTTCGTAGTAACACTCTCCAGTGGAACGATTAAAATTTATTTGATTTGTTGACTTTAAACAATTTTTGCTAAAGTTTTTCAAAAAAAAATGTTCTGTATCTCACAAAATATTGAAATACGTATTTCACTAACATCTAAAGTTTTATTTTGGCTAGAAACTGGAGTAAGAGTCTTCCTCAGAAGAAGAATCGGTTTTTTTCGAATGTCGTTTTTAAAAAACAATTTCAAAAATCTTTTTAAGCACCTCAACTAATATACAAATGCCTAAAAATGACCCGTTCGATTACATCGATTCATCATAGATGAACAAATTTGAGAAAATAACGCCTTATTCGAGTTGACAAGGCTGCATTACTTCTTAAGCGAAGTTGATTTAGACTTAAAAATGGGTTCTTGTCATTTCGAATAGTTACTGACCCACTTAACTGCTACTTTGTGAAAGATCTTGAACCAGGCACATTAAACTTCAAGTGTGAGTAAAAAGTTTGAAAATTGAAAGAAGCGATAATCGATTAGTTTATGACATCTCACGCCGTAAAACATTATATTGGTAGCTTATAGGATTTCTTAAGGTCTTTTCCTTGTTTTTTTTTTTTTTGAACTTCAAAGAGATTTAAATCGATATGTTGATCCAAATTTTTCCGTAAAATATTGTATGAAAGCGTTTACTGTTAGGTGCGGTATTTATTAAGACTCATTTTAAATGTAGAAAAAAACAAGCTTGCTCGTTAAGGCCGGACAAAGCCGATTATTGAATAATCTATACCAGTTCGCTTAAAACAATTTACTATTTATTTTCATGATGAATCCGTGATGCGTGTTAAAAACGTGAGCGTTCATAGTTAAAATTTAACAAAACGAATTCGCTTAGTTTCATCTATTTTCGCGATAACATACTAATAATTAAAGTTCTTTGCTGACTTTTTACAAGAATGCAATGGAATGGAATGCAATGTAAAAAGTAGACTCACGTGGCCCAAATCTAGGACGGTTAATCGGCACATCAAATTAAATTCAATTTTTTAATCATAATTTTTTTAGTTTTCGAAGAGGTGCTTATAAGGAAAGGGGTTAAAAAATTCACCCATCAGACCCAAATTTTTCACATCAACTTTGCGTGACAAGAGGCTACTAATCAGCGGTCTTTGTTGAGAAATTTCGGAAGTTTTTTTCATAGAACAACTAGTACAAATTAAAGTATCAAATGTGTCTTAGACCGAAACTCGCCAGTGTGCGTCAGGGAATTGCGAAAAAATATCCAAAAAAGTGCGTTGTGGAGGTTGAACATAAAACTATATAGATAGATACCAGCGAAACTGGCGGACATATAAACAGGCTAACGAGGCGACGGACAGACGCACAAGCATAAAGGCGGGGAGACGGATTGATCGATAGACAGAGAGACAGACGAAGGGACATAAAGACGGCCAGCCAGACAGACTATATATCTGCATAATAAACAACGAGCCCCTCTTAGAAGCTTTCAGATATTACAAACAAGCCCATAAACTTCATACGCCCTTTGTCGCAAAAGGTGTGGGATGACGAATGAATACGTTCCGTTAAAGAATGTTTGAGCAAACTTTCTTAGATCCGTTGGAATGATGGAAGAGGTAAATGAAGATACTGGCAAACCGACTTTCAGTTTCAACAAATCTATTTTACTTACAAAACTTGCGATTATTAAAAACGCGATGAGTAATTTAATACATTCCAAAATTTCTTTATCGTTGGCGTACTAAAATAAAATTTATTAACAATGTATAAAAGGCTAATGGTGGTGACGTTCACGCAGAGACAATTTGGCGCAAATATTTTTTGTATAAAGTTTATATTTTATCTGAGCATATACTTGCTTCTTAGTCACATTCACTACAATTTCCTTGCTTTAAAATCGCACGTAAATACGTGCAATCGATGTAAATGTATGCATAAAGCTAACGGTAAACGATGATGTTGGGACTAAAGAATGACATATGCTCTTAATGTCTACGTGCAAAATGCAATTTGTAAAGTTGACGTGGGTCGGTTAATATGCATGAAAAGCAATAGAGGAGCGTTGTAAAATCCAATAAATTACGTAATTTGGAAATTATGATATGGAAATAAATAATGTTGATTTAACGCATTGTTCCTATGTGTATGCCGCCCTTTCTTCCTCTTTTTCTCTCTCTTCGTCCCGATAGACTTTAAACAAATTGTAAAAAATCAAAATATAAATATGTTCTTATTTTAATTTCCTTTTTTCATAACTGTCCTAAAATTAAGTTCAATTACTTTGCATAGAAAACTTTATATTAAAGGCTAGTTAATAAAGAATGAAAGAAGTAAAAAGTTTAATAACAACAACAGCAACAATACCATTGAAAATCTAAATTACTATACATTTTTAACTCTTTGTACAGTGTGCGTATGGGTGTGTGTATGTACGTGTGTATTCTTTTCTACTTTTTTTTGGTTTCAAGAAAAGACTTTATATGTCCATAATGTACAAAATAAATATAAAATATACTTCTAAAAATCAAAATATTAAATAATGTATTTACGTAACAGTAAGAATTCTACACCCACTATTTGTTATATACGCTTTCTTTTTTTCTACAACTTATGATAACATAAACTTTTTCCTGTAAATTGAATTTTGTTGATGATGATGTCGTTCATTTACATAAACACAGATTTATTTTTCCTCTTTTTCTACATTTTTTTTGCAAATATTTTTTTCAGGGCGCTGCTAAGCTGACAAAGGAAGATATTGAAAAAGTTTTCTCTCTTTATGATAGAGTAAGTTCTTCAACTTTTATTTTCGATTAATGATTTAAAAAAATGTTTCTTTAAAAAAAAATGAACTAAAGCAAAAAACGTATCAAAACCCAAGCAGATTAGATTCGATTTGGGTCAAATTCTCTTGTTACCTTTCAATAACTACCCAATAATTTACTTGAATGTATATTCGTGCGTTTGTGTGAACACAAAGTGAAAGAAAAGTACGAAGATGTGTTTATATTTTCTTCATAGGAAAAGATCGTAATCATCTTACATTCTATAAAAAATTACAATTTGCATTCAAAAGTATGCAACTCAATTTCTTTATTTCATTTATTCTTTATTACTATTATTATTATAAATTTAGCCAGAGAATAAATTCTAAGACTAAAGTTTTAAAGCGCTAGCATCTAAGCCTTTCGGCTCTATTAAAAACTCTACCGCACTTGAGATTTGAACCCACGACAATTGATTTGAAAGTCGAGATTCTTGCCTACTTAGCCAATCAGGCGGATAAATTTATTCTTTATAAGCAACACTTACGGCGTGGGAGAAGATTTACCACCTCAAATACTTAAAAAGGAAAAGTGATCGGAACAAAAATTTTTTTTTTTTAACTCATACTAGGAAATTTGGACTCAACCTGGCACTCCTTGTATTTATGTTATGTACCTTTAGGTGCTCTTAATTTATATTATTAATTTTTATTATTAAAATTTCTTTGAACAATTCTATTTGAAGAATGCTTGAACTGTCCAAACTTTCCAACGAACTTCGTAAGTTGAGGTGGAGGATTTTAACAGTGAACCGTGTATATGCCAAAAACGAAGATATCCATGTGGTATATAACATCATTGTAGAGCTGTCGATCACGGGTAGACATTTCAACAAAAAACAAATATCTTTGAAGATACATGAGTAATTGGTCATATTAAAAAATATCTCTGGCTGATGGGGTCATGTCTTCGTCATATCTTTTGCTTCCGTTAAAGTTGAAGTTAATCAATTAATCATTTTTTCTTTTTTGGAGTTTTGAATAGTGAATAGCAAGTTCGACAGTAAAGTCAACATACCTGAATTCAATTCTTACTGTGACAGACTATACGTTCAAAAAAAAGGCGAAGGAACGAAAAAAGATAAGGGGCTTAGCAGTTGTTGTGCCTAATCGATAAGTATTATGCCTCCGCAGCTATTGTGCAATAATCGATTGGTAAAGGCCACAAACTTTTCCTGTTTTCCCGCTTCCTTCTCTCTTACCATCATTGCGTTTGTATGGGTGCAGCAAAAACTCCCTGAGTGAATTCCAATTTTTTCCAGTTCTTTTTCCCTTACTATTACCTGTGCCATGCCTGAAAATCACTACGAAATCACTATAGGACTTTAGCACAAATTCAAACTACAAATTTATCTGCAAAAGATATTCAATCTCAGAACACTAAATCTAGCTGAACGTTCAGGGTTCATTTTTATGCTCCTATTTGCATTTTTTTTGTTTTACAGAATAATTTTTCACATAGAATGCATTTTCAAAATCATTTAAAATTTTGTTGAAAATTGTATAAAACAAAATTTCCACTTAGTTTAGCCTTTCTATCTATACATCTGTTTGTTTCAAAATTAAAGACAGATTTTAGACCAGCAAAATTCCATAATTAAAACTCCAGGAGGAGTTGAGGTGGATCCACCTTCTATTATATTGATCGATTTGGAATCAATCTCAAATTCAATCTAAACGTGTCTGTTCGTCTGTCCACCTGGTTTTCTCATGTTCAACCTATATATCACAATTTCTTCCATATTTAAATGATATTTCGTAACCTAAAAACGGTTCGGTTGTAAATACTTTTTCGTATTCCAATTCTTTCTTACTACCGATATAACGCCTTATTTTAAAAAGTCATTACATGAATATCTCTAAGGTCGCGTAGGACGCTGAATTGGGCAGTGGCCCACTACGACGTTTTTGAGATTTTACGTTTATTATATGTAAAAATATACAATAGACCAATAAAGGAACACTCTTAACTTATATAATGTCGGTTGTCGGTTGACAGATCAAAATATGAAAATTTGTTTAAAAAAAATTTTGAAATATGTCAACCAGAAGTGAATCAAATTACTCAGCTGCTTTATTTATTGAATTTACAAGTTCATAATAAAACAAAGTTTTTTGATAAATATTTCACAATTTTTGTAGGACAATAGCGGTACTATCGAAAATGAAGAATTGAAAGGCTTCCTTAAGGATTTATTGGAACTAGTTAAAAAGGTAAGTAATATTATTCAATGCAAGCGCAACAAGTTGTTTACTTCAAATTAAAAACAAATCTTATGTTACGTGCTTTGTACTTGCATTACCTGAAACGTAATGTTACAAAAAACAAGCTACTTTAATGACACTGTCTATAGGAAAAAACAAAATCCGTTTTTTTAACTCAGCTTTAAATATATATCTAACAGCAACAGGTTACATTGATCGTTTCAAATTTAGATTGTCATACTCGTGCAGACGAAGCACTTTTTGCATCAAAGTTCATTTGGAAATTTTAATACATGGTATGAAATATGCCAAGAAATGAAACCTTTACCAGCAATGCCTGATCAGACTAAACAAAGAAAATTTTGTAGAGAAAACCAGGGCGAAAAACCCTACCGTGATTTCTATAAAAATTTATTTATTTAAACTTCCCAAAGTCTTTGGCATCTCTGCATCCGCGTTGTAATCGCGTTGTAATTCTTAGCAAGTAATATTTCAATTTCTTACTATATCTCTTAGCTTTTTTGCTTTTTTCGAGTCTAAAGTATAAAAATCTTTAAAAGAAAGAGAGAAGAAAGAGAATAAAGTGTGTAATCTAAATTATATGAAATATATTAATCTTTTACCTGAAATTCAATTTAGTTTGGGCAATCTGTTTTTACCGTTTTTTGCTTTCGCTCTATATTTACAGTGTCAACGAAGATGAGAAGTTCCGCTTCATTTGTTGACAATTTTTGTATCGTAGAATCTTTTAGTTGTTTGTTTCTTTCCTTTTTTTATTCATAATCTCCTTCCTTCTGGACACTGGACATGGATTGTTTATTTACACCATGTCGTGTGAAAACAGGCCCAGAATTTGAACGATTCATCTCGCCCTTCCTCTGCGAATGTTTTTGTCATGCAAAGTGTGCTGGTATTAATGGCCGTGTTGCAGCTGCAGTCATGGATTCCTCTACAAAATTACGATAGTGATGTCCTCACTGTAGGAAGTGGGACATTGATTTCTATAAATTCTTCACGGAAACGAGAAATAGTTTCTCCTTTTTGAGCAAAAATCTTGGCTGCTTGTGTCATAAGTTTGAAAAAATGAATGAGTGTCGTTTTATTTAGCACTCATCTTCTTCCTCAGCTGGTAGAGTTACAACTCGTAGTGGTGCGTCACCTCCGAGTTCCCTCATTCTCCCATTGATTCAAGTCAGCGCTTCCACAATGTGTACAATAAACGTTAGCGTTTCTGCTTTTATTAAGTCGGTCGTTAGTAAAAAAGTTACAAATAAGCCGGGAACTCCTTCTGGTTTAAGCTGAAGAGGCAAGGGTATCGCCTCTCCGTGGCGTCACTCACTCTACTCAGGCGTTATCGCCTAAAATTAATAAAGAAAATAATAAATCCACCTCTCCCCTGGGTGTTTGAGTGTGAATAATGGCCACCATTTTGAGCAGGCCGCTCAAGTTGCTTGTGCAAGTATGGCTACCCCTTCTATATTCTCCCCAATGCAAAACCCCCCTCCTATGTTCCCTCCCGTTCCCAGTAGATATGACATTTGCTTGACGGCAGTTCCCAGAAAGGCAATATTTGTGTCAAGACTGGCACCTGATACACCTCTGGATAACATAAAAAGTTATCTAGCGGCGAAAGTCCCATCAGTCTAGAGCATTCTCGTCTTTTGAAGTACTATTTCCGACTGAGAACATAGAAATTGGTTAAATAAACCATTGCGGCCAGTTGGATCCTTAATTAACGAATTTATACCTCGCGATCGATCTACTATCGCCGTAGCCTTTTCTCCCTCAAAAAATTAAATGTTTCTTCAGGCTCATTAACTCTCATTTATCAAAATGTTAGGGGTCTAAATTCGATTATTTGTCCTACTTTCCTAAATTCACTCAGCACGGAGTTTTCTTGCTTGGCCATCACTGAGACTTGGTTAAAGCCTGCGGTTTTTAAAAGAGACCGATTAAATCGCATTGTTGGTGGCGCTTTAATTGCTATACCTTTGGTAATCCCGTCCTATTCATTTGAATTTCCTACAACTCCGACATTGAATTTATTGCTATTCGAGCGAAAATTCCCAATAAACAGCTGTATGTAACCTGCTCCTACATTCCCCTAAATTCGGATATTTGCATATTTAAGAAAGAGGCTGCCCTCATTTGTGAAGTGGCGAAGCAGTGTAAACCTACCCACATAGTCATAGCGTTGGGTGACCTCAATTTGCGTCAAGTTACTTGGTGTTATAGTGATAATTCTGGCTGTTGGATTCCTACTTCAACACCTAATAGAGTTGTTTAGTTTTCTAACGAATTATTTGATTATAAGTTAGTTCAATAGAACCGATCAAGCAGTCCCGACCTCGAAGCAGGTGCACCCCGTGGTTTAATAAGACAATTAAATATTACAGAATAGAAAAATCAAGCTTTTCAAAAAATTTTCGAAAAATGGCTCTGCTTGCGACTATTTCGCTTATTCATCTGCAAGGCGTAGATTTAATTTCCTCAATCATCAATATTATTGCAGAAACCTTCAGTTTATAAAATCCTCATTGTTTGCTAATCCTGAATACTTTTTAAGTTTGTTAACTCTAAAAGAAAAATCTCCATAAATCTCTCGCATGTCTCTTTCAATGGCTCTGGGTGCTCGAAAGATTTTGAAACCTCAAATCTCTTCGCTGAATACTTCCAACGAAATTGTTCAACCGCTACTTCCGATTTATCAGCAAACTACCCTTATCCGTTAACTAATTCGTTTTCAATTCCTAATTTGTTGATTTGGTCGGTTGCCAAGCTTGTTTGGTCGGTTGCCAAGCATGTTTACAATGGTTTAGAGGTTCACTTGTAAGCTTGATCTGTTCCTGTTGTGGGCGGACTTCTGTGCTAGCTGTGTACATGCTTTTTTTCTTTCTTATTTATTTATGCATGATTATTATTTTAAGTTACTTTGTTTTTATTACTCTTTTTTCACATGTTTCTATATATTGTATGCTAGCTTTTAAAATAATTAGTACAAGATTTACTATTAAGATTTACTTGAATTCTACTGTTAATTTGGCTTAAATAAGTAAAATAAATAAAGAAAATAACATAAATAAATCAATCAAATTTGAGTTTATAAGGTAACATACTTGGTATACTTATTGATTTTATAAAAGTTTCAATACACTTTTCTAATGAAAGAAAATATATGAATGTATGAATTGATTTGACTCTGTCTCAGTGCTTTTCTCTCTTTCTCTGTCAGTGTGTCTAAAATTAGTTTATCATTCCTATGCAAGATTATTCAGGTAAACTTACTTTTGTGCAGTACAGAAACTTAAGAGATAGTTACAACAAACCATTTTTCGCAATATATTAGCAAACATTATTGTATACGGTGTGGAGGGACCGCATAGATAATATGTCAAAGCTTTATGAAATATCTAGAAAATTCTTTCCATACAAGACAAGGAACAAGGTTGCGAATGCAAGTATTTTAATAAATAATAATTTATCTCCTGAACCTTAAAGATATTTTGGAAACCTACATAATTTAATCCCATTCGTCGTAGTCCAATCACTAATTATTCCTGTACAGCTACCTCTTCTTCTCTCTGTTTTCATACACCGTATAGAAAAAATTGCACGAAAGAAATCGCAGAAATAAAATAGGTGGCATAGAAACCAATCGCGCAAACGAAATAAGTCGCATAAAGCAAATCGCATAAGCAAATTAAGTCTCATAAAATCAACCGCACAAATAAAATAAGTCGCATAAAAAATACCACACAAATCCAAGTTTAACTGTACATAATCTGCGTACTACATTGGAGAATATTACGGTTATGTTTTTATTTCCTCTCCTGCTTCTTTTTCCCGTTTTTTCTATTTTCTTTATATTTATACTTAGGATGACTATGACGCCCAAGATTTAAAAGCTTTCGAAGAGACGATTTTACGTGGTGTCGGTTACGATAAGGATGGTAAAATTTCACGTAAAGAATTAACCATGATATTGCTGACTTTGGCTAAGATGCCACCAGAAGATGAGCAGTAAAAAAGAGACAAAAAACAAAAAAAAAGAAACTATTCGTAACAAATGGAGCAAAGCTATAACCTTTAATTTTAATTTAAGTACATTTCTCAAAAACAAAACCAAATAATACACTTTATAAAAACTAAATTAAAAAAGTAAAATCAAAGTTTGAAAAGTTTTTGTGTGAAAAACAAACGCAAAACCAAAAGAATAAAATAATGATTTAATGTTTTCTAAAAAACTCAAATCCCAACGCCCAAGTTTTTGAAAACAATTTAGTTTTTTAGTTGTAAAATTATATATATAGTTACGAAACTGGGCTTTACGCTTTCAAGCCTCGACTTCAGAATTGATTATCAAAAATATTATTGTTTAGAATTTAGTACGTACTACGTAGGCTGCTTATACCCATGTTGGGCAATCTGATGAGTAAACATTCAATTTTTACTAAACGACAAAACATTAATGTGAGCCTAAAGTGTTAAATTTGGTTTATTAATAACTTCGCAACATTGGTTTTTTTCATGATCAGCCACAGGTAACGGCAACATAAATCCATCTGTGTTGGTCTGTTTGCTATACTCTACATGGAATTCCGACAGTTAAACACCAAAGCAAAGAAAGACTCTTAAAAAAGTGAAATATCTCAAAAATGGTGATCTGCGTACGTCAGAGACAAGAAAACAACTCGATAATAAATGACTCGATAATAAAAGCTCGATATATCTGAAATCCTTCTCGATGTTGCATACTTTTATTGCATACATTAATATGCGTTTTTACTGCAATTGCTGTAGGGCATAAAAATATAAAATACACTGAAGCGTTTTTATTAATGAAGTAATAAAGCAAAGGCAACATCGCCTTGAATATTGAGTGTAAAAAAAAGAGAATTTCATATTTTCCCTGAGGGTGGTGGGTATCGAAGTTCGCCTTAAGGCGTATATAGATTTGTGATTTAATAATTATTACACAACCAAATATAATAAAACGATAGCATAAAGTAAGTTTTAAAATAAACATCGATTTTATTTATATTTTGAGAAAGAAAATATTTTGTATTATTGTTATTATTATAGTCGTAATTGAATAAGTAGATAAATGTTTTTTAATTATATTAAAATACAATAAAAAAAAAATGATACGAAAAAATTTATGAAAATTAATGATTTAACGAAAAAGCGAAGATGGCAACTTTAATAAATTTACGCAATTATCACATTAATTCAATTCAGTTTGGCCTCTGTCTGAGCATGTACATATAAATATACGTATAAATATATATATATATGTTTCCTTGTACAATTTAACTACCAATCGATCAATTGCACTTGAGATTTAATAAATAGAAAAAAAGCAGAAAGAATTCCTAGAAAAATGTAACAAATTCAAGTGAAAGGAACGATAAAATAATAGCGATAACGATAATTAGTTACTGAAGGTGGAACATTAAAGGTCAAATTTACGAATTAATTTAAAGTGTTTAATTTTTCTCTTAACGAATATGTAGATATTTCTACCAACAGATAATAGAAACAGAAAAGATGAAGGGAACTTTATTCATCTTAAAGCTGATTTTAAGGATATATCTATCAATTGAAATTGCAGAAGGTCCTGCAATCCTCACGTAGTTTTTTATAAAGGAAGATAAATAATTTAATTATACCACATCCGTCTGGCAAAGGACCTCGACTAATAACACAAAAGAAAGAATTTTCAATCGTCCATAACTTTTAGATGCTACCGCTTTAAAAGTTTAGTCTTAGAATTTATTTCTCTGATTTAATTAGTAATAGTAATAATAATACTACTATGGATAGAGAGGTGATTTCATTTAATATTGTCTAGCTACTATCGAAAGACAGTTAATGGCCATTGACGGAGTGGTGCCTTCCCCAAACACGGAAATTGATTTTCTATAATTTTTTAAGCAAAATCCTGGTAAGAGATCTTCTAAGGTTCTTCGTTTGTTGAAACACTATTGACTTTAGCTAGTTAAAAGGAAAGAAGTCTACAAATGTTAAGTTGAATGAACGATGTAGACTTTCGAAGAGACGGTTCCCACAGGTTAGATTCTTGCCGAATCTCCCTCCCCTTAACTCTATTCTTCTTTTGCTTGGTCATAATTGAAGCAAAATCATTGAATATCTTTCAAAAGTACTTCTCAACTTAGTCTCACTTCATAAAAGCAGCGACTAACGATAATAAAGACGTTTATGGGCAACCTCATCAACAAAGTTAACTTCATGAGGAACATAAAAGTAGGGCCGAGAATGTTGCTTTAGACTGGACGGCAGCATGCGGTGAGAGCATTCGGCGTTTGGCAGACTACAATCTTTCCGTTTTATGACGCCGCTTAAGATTTATTTATAGCTTGAGTTCACTTTCCAATTTATTAGGCCGTATATACTTTAAACGAACATGATCCTCTGTCAAAAGAGGCTTACGATTTTAGCAACATTTCGCGTATGACAGTTTTCTTAATTACATTTATTATTCTAATCGTGGATACATAGTATTCAATACGATGAAGCCATCATATTACCGTTATTCGACAATACTAGTTACTTCAGCCATGTGCTCGCTAGCAAACGAAGGAAGAAATCAAAGAGCTTTCTTCGTTTTCTCTCAATAATGCCTGACAGTTATCTCGAATATCGTGTTTTAATACGACATACCAACTTCTTCCGAAAAACACTAATCGGGAAGGATCATGTTGGCCAAAGGCCCCTAGAACTTACTGCTACTTACTGTCATACACACTTGGGCACCATTTCATAAAATTTTGTCATCTATCATAAAAAAATTGCTTCTCTCCTAAAGTGATTTGAATATGTCAATAGCTTTGCCATGAACGTGCTCGGCTGGGGTCTTATTAAGTGATGTGATTTTCAACGTTTTAAATTTATATTTAACATAATCTTAAAGTGTTTCAATGTAATGAGATGCAAATCGAGTGGTAGGTATAGAAAAAAAACAACCTATGTATAAACAATGACTCATAGCTGAAAATAATCACTTTTTGTTTTTAATTATATGCCATTAAAATTTTATTAACGTTAATTGTTTGAAATCAATGCCAAAAAAAAGAAAAAATAATTTTTTTTTAGGAAAGTAAAAACTTCAACTATTGAAGATCTATTAAGAAGAAAAATATTTAAATCAATGCTAAACTACATTTAAACTATATATGTAAGAAGAACAGCAACAAGGCCAAATATTAGTGGTTTATAAATCTATGAGAAAATTTATGCTCCTAAAAAAAGACGAAGAAAAAAAATCTAAAAAATTAAAAAAACTTGGAAGCTGTTTAAAAAAAAATATGTGTATATACATATATATATAATAATTTATACTGTCTTAACTAAGCGGTGCTAAAAATTTTTTTGTTTACTAATTCATTTGAAAAATACTAATCTTTAATTATTTTGTCTTTATTGTTAATGTATTCCACGAAAAAAAATCTGTGCTACTATACTACTATAGCATGTTCCCTAAATCCTACTCAAAATCATATCAAAGCTTTAGAACAAAAAAAATATTAAATAAATAAAAAATAGATTTCTGCTCCTCCAAATTGAAAATAAAGGAAAGAAAGGAAGAAAAGTATAATAATAATTATACCAAGAATAAACGTTTAATATGAAAACTTATTCCTGATACGAGTTTGAATGGTTGTAATTATAAATCGAAGGACACAATGAATAAAAGTTAATATAAAAGTCATATGATAATAAGAACTACAAGTATCGCTTATTAAAAGATTAAATCAAGTAAGTATAAGGAGGGTTAGTAAGAAAAGACAATGCAAGATATAGCCTAATGCATATCAACGCAAATATGAACCCGTAGTTCTTTTATAGAAAATACACGTCTGTTGTCGGATGAAATGGTAGAACATATTTTTCCATATTTTATTAGGGCGCTCCACAGCTTGCTATAATCTTTTCACTCTTCTGACAATTCATGCCTTTAAAAGTCTTCCTCTTCCATTGCGAACCGTTCATTGAGTCGTTTTTTTCACATCTACGCATGACGTAAAGGTTCGCTTAACAAACCCGTGACCCATTGATGTAAGCAGGTGGTAATCGAAAAGACTTTGGCCAGGTGAGTAAACTCTGGGGGCTATCAGTTCCCCGTTGAGCACTTCCAATTTATCGCGAGCTGTTCATCCTGTCTTTTTTTTTCATTTTTCATACAAACTAGAGGTTTGCTTAATAAGTGCGTGACCCGTCGATGCAAACAGGGGGTAATTGGAAGGACTTAAATAGAATCTGATGCTTATTAGTGACTAAACAGAATGTCACCAGTTGAGGGCTCCCAACATTTCGCGAACCGGTTTTTTAATGGATCGATGGATGTTTAATCGTGTACTTTTATTGCTTTTTTTGATATTCTCGCTGCTTTTTACGCAACGAAGAGGGTTTGGTATTAAACGTTTCACCGTTTGCAATAGCGATCCAATCTTGCGTTCAATGTGCATGGTACCTCTGAATTTCTCTATAAATTTTTTGCGCCTCGGATTCCAATAACGATGCAAGAAAAGAACTTCTTTTCGTTCTGCTTAGCAATTGTTGTAGATGAATGCTTTCTTTTGGGATTAAATTCGACTCGTTCAACGCTATTACAAATTACGTATGCCGTTGAATGAAACTAGGACTTTTATGAGTTGCAATGTTTCTATTAAACGCCAACAAGGAAATATAATGCAATGTACATGCCAATTGCGGTTTCCTATTTACATAACTGGTATTACCACGACAAAAAAAAAAATAATTGGAGCTCTTTTCAATACAATATAAAATAAAAAGGTGGTCCAAAGAGCTTGATGATCCCTACAAAAGGCTGTACATGTGTTTGGTTAGACCCATACTCGTTGTGTGGTCTCCTTCATATAGGCGCTGCGTAGATTCAATTCAATCTGTTCAAAAGCAATTCTTGCTGTTTGCCCTTAGAAATTTGGGTTGGGATCCGATTGCCTCTCTTCCTCCGTATGAAAATAGGTTGCTTCTGCTGTCCCTACCGTCTCTTGAGAAACGTAGATTTGTTCTTGGCGTTTCCTTTCTAATTAAAGGAATAAATGGTGCTATTGACTCGCCTTCATTACTTGGTGAAATAAGCTTT